AAAAGTGATCAGTCAGTCAAACCTGGGAGTACATGGTAAGACAGTGGCAGGTTTATCCAGTCCATCCGACGTGGGTGGCAGAGATGTAGCCTGAGCACACAGAGAGGTGCCCTCTCCTGCCTTCCAATCTCGAATGATGTTCTCTCCACCCAGTCACCCTCTCGTCACAGGACTCCCTGAGAACCCTGGGCTGCCTCTTTCCCTCCCTCTAGCTTCTCCCCTTGGCTGTTGACAGTGGCATCAGCCACCAGCACACTCAGGTAGCACCTTCTGGCATCCACGTGAAAAGATGGTGAAGAGAGAGTGCTGTGGCCACCCAAGGCTGAGAAGAAACAAAATCACTACAGCGGAATCGTTTGATTTGTCTTTGAGCTTGGAACCACGGATGAGTTTATGTGATAAAATGTACACCTATAAAGAAAATAGCCAGTTCTCTCCTTTCTGCTTCTTGTTTATATGAAAGGCCATTTTCACCGCAAAAACCACCTTTGCAAAATTAAAAGGCAGAGATCTGATTTTCTAGTTGCCTCTAAGTGAGAAAGTGATGATGTTTTTATTATTTTCTAATAATATTCTATTAGAAGTTCAGGGGCTACAATTCTATAAGAGAAGGGGGGGGTGAGGAGAGAGGAGGAAGAGAGGGAAGGAAGAGAGGGAGAAAAAGGAGGAAAGGAAGGAAGGAAAAAAATAAGTTTCTGGGAGAGCAATATTTCTCAACCATTGCTGTGTAGTGGAATCTCCTGGGTGAAAATACCCATGCTCAAGTTCCCTTTTAGAGATGTTAAAGTCCCAATGATTCTATATACAATCAGGGTTGAGACCGATGTTATCCAGCTTCATGTTTTATTAGATGGTGACCTGAGAATATTCAATTAGTCAACAAGTATGACAACTTAAGAGAATTTTAGAGGTTAAGAATTGCTAGCAAGAAGCCCACCCGCTTCTCATTATAGAGGTCTAAAAAGACCTAATCCCCCTGGAATTCCCTGTCTCGTTGGGGTAAGCAGTGGCATGGCCAGGAGTCCCAAATCCCACTTCTCTGAAGCTGCACAGTAGCCCGGTGCCATGTAAGTCTCCTTATCTCTCAAGCTTCTAAAATTATGACCAGATCAATGCTTCAAGCTCAGTCCCATCAAACCTCTTTTCCTGATAATAAGATAGACTCCGGGGCTTTTAGCATCCATAGATCATCCCCACAACTCTTATTAGGGAAGGGCTCATTCATTCACTGCATCAAAACTTTTATAACTGCTGGCCAGTTGAACAATTCCTGAGGTAGAGTGAGTCATTGGAAAGAGCGCTGCACTGAGAAACCAAAGGCCTTGAATCAAGTTTCAGATTTAGCCCACACACACCTCTCCCGTTGACCTGAAGCAAGTCACGGAGCCTTTATAGCTCCCGGGCCCTTAAGTACAAAGCGAGAGATTGGTTACTGTCTAATATCCTCTGCGGCTCTGAAATTTCATGTTCTGATCCACATTCTGGTCGGGCGTGCTGAACAGTTAAGGGCGAGGAAAGTAATACAGGGAAGCACAGGGAAAAAAGCGAATGGTCCAGTTAAGACATTGACAGACGTTGAGAGAGTCTATGAGTCTATGGCAAAGAGCAGGAGTCTGAGGCTAAGCAGAGGAGGAACAGAGCTGGTGCGTCCTTTGCATAGAGTCCTAGAGCCCCTCACGGGGGCTTTGCAAGGGCTTAGGAGGGATACTTGGCCCTGGATTGCCAGGCAGCTCTACTTCAAACCTGACCCTTTTTGCTCTCAAAACATTGACAATATTTCTATGTGTTGCCTTATTTAAGTACTACAATGAGATCCTATGGCATGAAATTTGGTAGGTTCCCTTTCTGCTACTTGTCTGTATAAAAGACCATTTTCACTCGCCTCCCACTGCAAAAACCACCTTTGCAAAATTAAAAGGCAAAACTCTGATTTTCTGATTGTTAATTGCCTTTAAGTGAGAAAGTGATGATGCTATCTTTTTATTATTATTTTATAATTTTTTATTTTTTGAAACTTTCATTTTTTGATAGATAGTATTACAAGATGTCCCCCATCTTCCCCTTTTGCCCTCTCCACCCATCCCAGGCCTTCACCACACTACTGTCTGGGTCCATGGGCGATGCATATATGCATAACCAGTTCTAATGGTTAAAAAAATCTAATATTTCAGGAATGATTTAAAATATCCCAATTCGCTGTTCCTATATAATAGTTTTTGCACCCACGTCTCTCTCCATTCCTTTCTTTCCAACTATCATGACTGTCTCCTCATGCAGCCTCCTCCTCAATACCATCCTTCAGATACCACTGCATATTTCTTTGTGCCACTTGCTGTATGACTTTTCCACTCCAAAAAAGGTTTAGGTCTCCTTATTTCCTGCCTATCAAGTTAACATGTTTAGCTTGACAATCCCAGATTTCTGCATGCTAGCCCATAACCTACCTTTCTTCTCACTTTTTTCTTATCACATTTTCTCCAGCCAGTTTGGTCCGCTTAGTGTCCACCTCTCAATTATGTCATACAAGGTCCCTCCCCTGTGTCTTTGCTTATGTTGTTCCTCCCACCTGCAGTAGCTTTCTCCATTTCCCCTCACATGTCTGCTGTATATTTCCTGCTTCAATCTATGCTTCCCCCTGCTTCCTTTCTCTTTCCCTTCTTCCCTTCCTTTCATGTTCCCATAATATCAACACCAAAATTTAGGGAATACAATAAATTATCTGTAGTCACCTTATAAATAAACACAGTATTACCAGACTTGAGTTGATGGCATCCTTGGTTCTTCTCTTTGAACAGGCAAGCTCTCTTGTGTCCCTTAGCTTTTAGCTTGAAATTCAGCATCCTTCAGTACATTCCTTTGTGAGCACACTTAGTATTACTAATATATGCATCCAAGTTTAGGTTCCACTTTAAAATTTATGTGTAAGCTTCCCCAAAGTTCAGAAAATGGTCTAAGAAATATGAATTTTAAAAACACACATACACAGTGAAGTGTTCCAGTCATTCTATAGCTTATTTATTTCAATGGTGTGAGTCATACACTTCTCATTCAGAGTTGGTGATAACAGAATTGAAGCCTGTTACATCAAGAAGGACCATACCCTTTGGTCTCATAGATGAGCCAGCTGAGGCTCAGGTGTAGAGGACATTGAGCCCAAATGAAGTATTGCGCTTTGCAAAGCCATTTGCCCTGCTTCCTCTTCAAAACGGGATCCTCTCAGTCTTCCAAACCCTTCCACATCAAGTCCTCTGTTTCCCAAAGATTGTCTGTAAATAAAATACAGCCCTCTCCAGGGACCTGAAATGGGACAAGAAGATCAACCTCTAGTGAGCTCTCCCAATTTTTGAAATTATTTTATTTGTGCTTCTAGGATATAACAACTTTCTGGAAGTGGGATCTAAACATTGGTAAAGAGATAATTTTTGTGCAGGTGAGGAGAAGGATAGGAGGTGTAAAAGATGTAGATATGCAAATAGTGATTTTGTTCGTGTTTAAGAGTCTATGGCAAAGAACAGGAGTCTGAGGCTAAGCAGAGGAGGAACAGAGCTGGTGTGTCCTTTGCATAGAGTCCTAGAGCCCCTCACGGGGGCTTTGCAAGGGCTTAGGAGGGATACTTGGCCCTGGATTGCCAGGCAGCTCTACTTCAAACCTGACCCTTGCCTACTTACAAAGTCCTCTCTCATTTCTATGTTGGGGTGAGTAATAGTAAAAGGAAGAGAAGGCAGCTTTCTTTTTCCCCCTGAAATTCCAACCCAAAACTTCACTTTTTGTTGTGTCTTATTTTTTAAAGGCCGAAAACCAATCGCAATTCCACTCACTCCCTTTCCTAGACATGCTTTTCTCCTGTGAAAGCTTTGTGACTCTGGATGTAGAAATAGCTTTGCTTTGCTTATTCTATCCAAGCAGCTGCCTGGGGACTCCTGGCCCTTGGAGAAGTGACTCCCTCTCCGGACCTTGGCTTTCCCATCTGTCCAATAACGGGGCTGGTGGGTGGTGTCTACATCCTCGCCCACCGCGAACCTGTGGGAGTCTGCGAGCCGCACTGCCTTCTCACTTTCCCACTCGAGTGTCCGGCACAGAGACAGTTAAAGGTTAAGGATCTCTTCAGAGGAGAGTTATTAACAAGGGGACAGGCTCGCCAGCAGCAGGTTTGCAGCCTCAACACTCCCCTCTCCCAGACTCCCCGCCCCTCCACAGAGGGAGGTGCACCGGGGTCTCCTCTCGTCTCCTCCTCCAGCGCAGCTCCGTGGGTCTCGGGGACACCCAGCTGTCTCTACAATCCCTTGACCCCAGTGAGCCAGGACGCCACACCTGGCTCCAGTCCCGCCGCTACCCCACCTCCAGGTCCCTCCTGGCTCCACTTCCACTTCCCACATCCTTCCAGCCGCCACAACCACTTCGCACGCTCGCTCGGCTCTCCCAGCCGCGGCTGTCTAGGGGCGGGCGCTCTCGGGTGTCCCATCTCCCAGCCCCGTCTCCCAGCCCCAGCCTCTCCAGTTCGCAGCCCCCCACCTCTTCCCGCACCTAGGACTCAGCCTTCGCCCTCCCACCCTCCTCCTCCCCCCAGAACTCCGCAGGTGCCCTCCCGGAGGCTCTGTCCCGCATCCACGCCCGGAGACGTCCCGCGCTCACCTCCCGGCAGAGGCGAGCGGGTCAGCAGCGGGGCGCCAGCCGCCAGCCCGGCCCTCCGCTGGGCGCGGGCGGAGGAGGCACCGAGCCCGCCGGACCCGCACCTGCCGGACCCGCTCTGCTCGGACCCGCACCGGCACCAGCATCGGCACCCGCACGGGGAGACCGGATCCCTGAGCAGCCTCAGGCGGGAACCGGCACCCAGGCGCCCGGAACGCCGCCTCCAGCCCGCGGACGCCTCGGGGGCTCGCCCAGACCCGGACCCCCTGGAAGGAGGGGCGCGCGGGCCGCCTGGAGCGCCGCCCCCCTCCGCCCGCCCCCCGGCCCGCCCGCGGGGCGCTGCTGCGCTCGGACCCGGGCGGGGAGCGCGCGGGGCCCGGCGCCTCAGTCTGGTCCCCGAAGTGGAGATGCGCCAGCGGGCGGCCCGGGCGCGCAGCTCCTGAGAGCCCAGCCGGCACCATGCGCCTGCGGCCGCTGCCCCTCGTCGTGGTCCCCGGCCTGCTGCAGCTGGTGAGCCGCCCCGGAGGGACGCGTTTCGGCGGGAAAGCCGGGAAAGCCGCCCCGGGGAAGCGGAGCCTTGGGCACCTCGGACCCGGGCTGGGAGGGCGCTCAGGGGAGGGAGTCGGGTGCCTGCGGGAGTTGGAGGGGAGGGTCGGGGTTGCAGCAGAGGGGGCGCGGCAGGTGAGGGGCGCCGCGGGGGCAGGGGCTCGGAGGGGGGCCAAGTGTTAGGAAAGTGGCCGGGAAGAGGGCGCGAGAGGAGCGAGAGGCTTATGGAGAAGCGGCTCCGAGGGGCTGGGAGTGGAGGGACGGGGTGAGGATGGGCTGGGGGTAGAGGAAAGGGGTGAGGATGAGCTGGAGAACCTGCTTCCAGCCCAGAGTGAGGGGCTTGGCGGCTTTTCTGTTTCACGTGGTGTTTGCCCGGATGCCCGCAGACACTTCTCCCAAACCGCTGCCTCTGCATCCCCCTTCGCACGGCCGGTGAGCGACACCTTTCTGGGGGGAAACTCGGCTAAAAGACAGATTCGGGTAGGGGCAGACTGGGTTTCTTCATCAGGTGCCGGTGCTGGAGGGGACGCGGGATGTAACTTGCACACCCAACTCCGCGCAGAGCCCTCTGGCATCCCTATGTATGTATGTGTGTCCCCAAGACATTTCCTGCTGAGACCGGGCGGCCCGGGCCCAGGAAGGGAATTAGAAGGTGGGTCAGGGGTCTCCAGCGAGGCTAAGGCGACTGTGGGCATTGCATCTCATTGCTCCTTGCTATGCCCCCCTCCCTCCTGGGCGTCCTGCTTCCTCCTTCTGAAATATACCCCTGTGCTGTGTGTATTGCTAGTTAATTACACTTAAGGGAGATCCCCAAATAAGACCCTCAGGAAGACAACTTTTAAAGTGAAATTGCAGAAGGGGACTACTTGGCTGGGTCTGCGTCTGTGCTGGATCCCTCCTGCTTTCCTGGCCCTGGTCTTGACAGGGTGCTGTTAGAGGGTTTTCTCCAGATGCCTGGTTTCTCTGGCACTGATACCGAAGACAGGCTGCTCCAGGCTGTGAAAGCAAGGTGAAAGAACCTTAGAGAATGAAGATCCCTCCCTTCCTCCCTCCCTCCTTCCTTCCCTCCTTCCTTCTTTCCTTCCTTCCTTCCTTCCTTCCTTCCTTCCTTCCTTCCTTCCTTCCTTCCTTCCTTCCTTCGTCCCTTCCTTCCTCCCTCCCTTTCTTCCCTCTCCTTCCTTCCTTCTCCTCTATCTCCTTCTATTATTTCCCTTTACCGGGAAAGATCAACTAACTTAGGAAAGTTTCTTTATGAAATGTATGCTATTGTAGAGGCAGAGATACTTGGCAAGTTTTGAGGCTGGAAGAGACTCCAAAAGGTCTTAGAAAGGCAGAGGTGCTGCAAGGAAGGGCCGGTCCACTCTTGTTACACCGGAGTTAGCTCCACCTGCTCAGCGTTAACTAAGGAAGTCTTCAGTGGCATCAAGAAGAAATGCTGCGATGCTCCAGCGTGTCCCTGAATGAACCGGCACATACGGTCTATAGGCAACACTGCATGTTAAAATAAATGTTACATTTCAGCCAGGCCTTATGCAAGCAACATATATGTCACGTTAGTCTTTAGTGTCCCCTGCTTTTTAAAATGTTTACTCTGGAGTCCAATAAAAGGCGATGTACTAGAGCAGTGTCTGTATGGTATACGTAAATAAAATTCTAAAAGCCTGGGGAGAGCAGGTACTTAGATAGGGTCTTCAGAATATCTTCAGGAATAGCTTAGCTCATTCATTTAATTTTGCATTTGGTAGCCATGAACTGTGTTAGACTCTTCAAGACAAGAAGATCTATTTCAGCGTGTGTTAGGAAAAAGTTCACCTATCCGATACCGTATTGCAAAATATTAGATTTTTTTCCCACACGTCCATAGTCCATAAGGAATAGGAACTACATCTTGAAGGTATTGCATTCCCTCCTTAGGAGCTGGACTCTACTATTGCAGCATGGACTGATTGATTAGTTTTTAAGGAAGCTTATGTCAAATTCTAATCCATTTTGGATTGTGCTCGGGTTGTAATGTTTTTGCTCTGGGAGCACTTTATCATGGTAAGCTGCAGCTGTGTGATAAGCACACATGACTTACATGGCTGTCCTTCTGGACAATAAAGGGCTGTTTACATTGCCCACTTTCTTAGAGCTGTTTCCAGCCTTACAACATCAGGGCCTGGGATCTGAAAGGAAAACGGAGGTGCTGGGCAGGGTAGGTCTGCATTCACACATCCTAGTCCCGCCATGGGCCCCACCCCAGCAAGATTCAAAAAGGACAAGTCATACTTTGGTCCTTCCGATGGCTTATAGTTTTGGTCCTTCCGATGCCTTATAGTGCCCTATTCAGCTGATATTGAACTTCTTTGCTAAGTTCCAACAGCAATAAATGTGTTCATGATTTTAAAACTAGGTTTTTCAATTTTCTAAGATGCCCTTAGTAGATCTGTCCTTGTAGGGAAAGAAGAGCAGGGGTGAGACGGGGTTATGGTTGGAATTGGGTTTTACTTTTCTATCCCCACTGCCAGCCTGAAGAATGTACTTTTTAAAGATGCTAAATATTTTTATTGAGTAGTGGATTCATTTGGGGATGTTGAAATTTAATTTTAAGAAAATTGCCTGTTTCATCTGAATGCAGCTTTTTTGGGAGTTGGACCCACATAAGCTACTTACCCCATAACACTGTTACAAATACTATAATATTTTTACTTATTTTTGTGATATTTCAAATTTTTGAGAAGACAATAAACTGAATTGATAAATATTCCAGGTAGTCTATGACACATGTGTGTATGTTACCTGTTTGCCAGATTTTCCTGGCCTGTATCTAGTGTTTTACTAGAGAGGTTGCTCTACTTAATTAATAGGATTTCTAGGCACCTGCAAAATTTAAATATCAATCCTGAATGTATTATTTTCTTAGAAATTTTTATTCAGCAACATATCTGTATAAAAAGATTAACAATGCATTTTTTCTTTTCTGCCATATAGTGAAGAGAATATTATCATTTGAAATTAATATAATAATAAATTGAATGTTATTTCATGACATAGTCCAGAGTAGACTTCTCCAATGACAACTTTTTACAGATTTGCATAATTTATAACTCATAGTAAGTGTGGTTTTTACCTTTAAGTAAAATGCGGATTATGAAAAGATTAAATTTAAATGGATGATTAGGTTGACTTTAAGATAAAATCTAGCTACAATTTTTAAAATAAGTTCGTTATACATTTCTACTTATTTTTCTATGATATAATTATGAGTTTATAAAGTAAAATAGAAATTAAAAGTAATGCGAGTTAGATAATTTTGAGAAGCCTATAAAATCAGAATACTTATCAAGCAGGTGTTAGAATTCTAAGTTGGCTCTCATTACATAGTATCATCCCCCATAAACTTAAGGATATTTTTGCTTACCTTAACAAATTAATAATTTTTATATTTGTTTAGTGTGATATTTATAACATTTATTTATTGACAGTTCTGTACAAGACATGATAGGCAACTCATGACTGTTTTTCATTCAAAAATCACAATTTCTCTTGTACTATTTTGATCAATAAATATCAAATCAGTATTTCCCAGTGTAGGACCAATAGTCATCTGTTGACTAGATGTCTGTTCAAAAGAGAGAAAACATCATTTCATGGTTACAATTTACAGTTGCCTGGGCTTTAAAATTAACTCCTCTTTTGAAGTATCATTATCTCAGGCATTTTTAAAAATGAGAATTAGGGTTAGACATTTAAGTCTTCTATTCCAGCCACTCACCACCTGGGATAAATTGTGTTCCTTTGGACTATTCTGAGATTGTTACCTGGTTCAGTTTTAAATGCCTTCCACACGGGAAACTGACTCCTCATGTGAACTTATTTTATAGCTTAGTTCTGGAGATTTTTCTTAATTATTCTTCATTGTTTATGATTAGTGGTCAAAACGCTAAAGAAGGCAGAAGGCTGTTTTGAAAAAAACCTTTTAGAGGTTTTTACACTGTCAGCTTAAAATGTGTAGCCCTTGCAAATCGAATGGATTAAGATACGTTGATATTATAATGTTACCCACCCTTTACCTCCTTTACCTACTGAAGAGCTAATCAATACATTTTTCATGATTTAGTCATTTGGTAGCAGCAATCAAAGATGAGTGTAAAGGTATCACAGGTTTGTGGTTTTGTAAAAGCTCTAGGACTACCTTACTGTTTACACATTCTGCAGACCTCGGTACCTGAAGCTTTGCTGCGTAAGATTTGAAAAAATAATTACAGCCGCGCAAATGCCTACAGTTAGGGCTGTGTCAGCGTTTCTGTAAAGAATCTCATTTCTATCTTAGCCATAAGCATTATTGCCAGTTAGGAGCTGGCATTTAATATCTTGATTTGAGAGTCAATTACTTTAAAGCTGCTTTAAAAAATTGGTCCAAATGATTTTGAGCACTCATCCATGTGAGGTTACTCTCCAGGTATTATTACAGTACACAGCATGACAATTTAATAAAGTAATTTCTATGTTATTCTTGCGCAGTGGTTATAATGTAAATTGTAATATGTTTAAATTATTTAAAAAAAATTTCTCACTTAACCTTTTTATTGCACCACTGTAAGATTTTGTAACACTATTTCATCATGAATATTTTTAATAGGGCCAAATTTGGATGCCCTAATCAGTGTTTTTATGAGTCTTTATTGTTAAGAACCTATTTGAACTTTTTATTTCTTGTGATATGAACACTGGTGTTGATGACAACTTCATTCTTAGTTCATTACCCTGCTCAATAAAAAGGATCTAAAGCAATTTACAGTATAGATTTCATATTATAGGAAGTATTCTAAGATATTATTGATTGAAATCTTCCATTTTATGGTATTTTTAATATATGAAAATCTAGATTAAAAACCTTCAAATAATTTTTTCATGCTGAACAATTAGTATATAGTAAATAATTCTATTTCCTTAACTACTATTAAAAACAAAAGTTTTGTTAT